ATGAATGAGCTTAGGAGTACAGATGATAGAAAACTGTAGCAAAATAATTAGGAAGTGATGAATTATGAATATTTGTTACCTTCATTTTAAATATGATTTAATTAAAAGTTGATATGGTTTAATTTTTAATAATCACTGTATTTATTAACCAGCTCATAACATTCCTGAAAATTTGGCAATTAGTTCTCGTGAGCCCATACAAACTGGCTCTGGCACACCACTGCATTTATCTATTATTCCTTGCATGTGGTGTTCTCTCAATCAAGCTCTCTATTGCTTTCCTCTGCCAAGTGCCCTTTTCTTTGAGGAACAGCTTCTTTTGTTTCATTTTGTTCTGAGGGGCTGTCAATTACATGACAATTACATCCCACCAACCGGTGGTAACAGGACCTGTGCCCAAAGTTAGGCCAAGCCATGGGGTGAGTGGGGAGGTGGCAGGGCTGAGTGTGGGCATTTCTGGGACCTCGGCTGTAATACTACCAACTATCAACCCCATTCTCTCTTGCCAAGTTGGGGGAAGCAACCTAGCCAGCACCAAAACCATCCCCTATAAGTATTTACATTATTGAAAGACCCTGACCTCACTGTCCTCCCCATCTGTCTCTTGCAGGGGCTCCCCCTCTGCAGGGTCACTGTGGGCTACCTGTGGCCCCAGACAAGGGTCATACCTCCGAAGGACCCTTTCCACACAGCCCTCTCTGTTCTCAGGTTCTGGCAACCACTCCCTCCTCTCACACCTACCTGCCTGGGGTTAGCAACAGCTCTGCGGGTGATAATCCGCATTCACTGCCCACATCTTTGTAAACACTGTGTCTTAGTCCATTCAGACTGATATAACAAAATACCATAGACTAGGTGGCTTCTAAACAATAGGAATTTATTTCTAATAGTTTTGGATGCTGGGAAGTCTGAGATCAATATGCCAGCAGATTTGGTGGCTGGTAAGGACCGGCTTCCTAGTTCATAGAAGGTAGGAGCGGTTAATAAGCTTGCTGGACCGCTTTTATAAAGGCACTAATCTCATTCCACCCTCCCCCCTCATAACCTAATCACCTCTCAAACGTCCCACCTCCTAATACTATTGCACAGGGGATTAGGTTTCGACATATGAATTTTGGAAGGATAGAAACATTCAGTTTATAGCATAATCCCTTTATTAAACGCTCTTCAAATTAGCCAATTTGGGTGTGCCACGCATTTACTGCAGGAACCTGTCGGACCTCCCTCTGTACTCCCCATGCTGCTCTGTTCATTATGTTCACAGGAGGCTTTGTTGGCCCAGCGGACCAGAACACAAGCTCTGGAGTCAGCCCCGAGTTTGAATTCTACCTCTCCTATTTACTAGCTGCAATACCAGACTCACATTACTTTACCTCTTTGTGCCTCCATGTTGGTCACCTGTAAAATGAGGATAGCAGTCCCCACCTCGAAAGGTCATAATAAGGATGGAGTGACACAGTCCATGTAAAAAACCTAAGATAATGTGTGATACCTACAAACTGCCAGTAAGTGTTGATCACTTTTCTTGCTTTTTTTTTTTTTTTTGAGACAGAGTCTCACCCTGTCACCCAGGCTGGAGTGCAGTGGCACAATCTCGGCTCACTGCAAGCTCCGCCTCCCGGGTTCATGCCATTCTCCTGCCTCAGCCTCCTGAGTAGCTGGGACTACAGGTGCCTGCCACCACACCCGGCTAATTTTTTTGTATTTTTAGTAGAGACGGGGTTTCACCGTGTTAGCCAGGATGGTCTCGATCTCCTGACCTCGTGATCCACCTGCCTCGGCCTCCTAAAGTTCTGGGATTACAGGCGTGAGCCACTGCGCCTGGCCTATTACACTGCTTTTTAAAAATATACAACAATTATTAACCATATTCATCATGCTGCAGGTAGAGCTCCAGAACTTACTCATCCTAAGTGAAACTATTTTGATTATATTTCCCTTACTGTATTGTGAACTGTTCTTTGTTCTTTTCCAGATTTTTCTCTCTATAAGTGGAGACCCAGAAGCTAAACCTGGATTAAAAGGACTTGTACCACAGGAATGGCACATAGGCCCCCATACCCCCATGATGGTACTGGTTTCCATTGAGTCCACTTAAGGCCTCCAGTTCTCCACAAGAGCTCCCAAGTGCAGATGGGAGTCAGTACTTGAGATATGAACCTATATATCTTCTCTGGCTTGGGTCTGCAGGAAATGAGAAAGTTGGTTGGTGGGACTAGTGTCTAGTGGTGGCAGCCTGGTGCAGCCATCTCAGGAAGACTGGGTCTCAGCTGCCACAGGGGATTCAGGACAGGAGACCATACCTACTGCAGGTGCCCCTCGACAGGTGTGTGTGTGAGCACTGAGGGGTCAGGGTCAAGCAAGTGTTGCGTCATCATCCCTAATTGTCTGCCCTGCCACGCACCATTCCAAGGGCATCAAGAGGACACCTGAGGGCTGCAAGGGTCTGAGAGTTCCTGGAAGAAATGCCAGATGCTTCTTTTTTATGACTCGCCTCGAGCTTCTCCTGTATCTGCGCCTGACTGTGGAAGGAGAGCTTGGGGTAGCCTTGACAGACCTGAGTTCTAAACCCAGCCCTGCCACATCCTAGCCATGTGCCTGTGGGTAAGCCATTTTCCCTCTTTGAGCCTCTGCTTCCTCGTTTGTAAAAACATGCCAAGAACAGTATCTATTTCACCAGCTGGCAGTGAGAATTAAATTATTCAACTCCACTGACTCCCTTAGTGCCCAGCACACAGTTTGCATGTAGCAGGTGGGCACTTTTAAGGAACATGGCCTGGGGAGGACCTATTGGGACTCTGGGGAAAGAAAGGAGGCCATGCCAGACATCTCTGTCTCCTGCTGAGCTCTGCACTTGGTTTTCCTGATGCCTGGTTTGTTCCCATTTATTCTTATTAAGATTCTCCACCTGCATCCCACCCCCTTCACCGCCCTCTGGCCTGGCCAGCCTGAAGTTTTCTGGGAGAACAAAGGAGCTTCTCTGGTAGCAACCATCCTAGGGCTCAAATCTGGCTTCTTCCTAGGGAGAAGAGGCCTGGAATATCTGGATTCCAAAAGGGTCTGGAATCTCTGCCTGGAGTAGGAGGGTTTCTATGTGTAGAGCAGAGGTTACCATGTCTGGGGGACTTTCCACCTTTATTTTACTTAGCCTACACAGTGTTTTGGAAACATTTGAATTCATTGCTGAGATTTAGAAACCAGCAGCTTTCACCTGGCCCTGTGCTCACACTCCTGCCCTGACAACAAGCAGCTGGAGCTGGGTGTCCACTGCCCCTGTAGCGGGAGCACGAGCTCTGTGGCTTGTCAGTTTCCACCTGGTTTCCTGGGTGTGGTTCCAGGGTTTCCAGCCTGGCCTTGTAGGCATGTGCCTCTGTGTCCTCAAGACAGAGGTGGCTGGACAACCTTTTGTGCATGTGTACGCAACTTCTAGGGTTCCCACCTCCCCGTTTAACCATCTACCAGGATCTGCACCCCCATGCCACAGATGTAACTCCAATTACTACAACTGAACCATCTCTGCTCCCCTCAAAAGCCAATCTCTTTACTGTAAACTAGATCCCTCCTGCTGTGGTTTGAATGTTTTTGTCCCCTCCAAAATGCATGTTTCGGGAACTTACAGTATCAGGACGAGAGACCTAAGAAGAGGTGTTTAGAATCTAGGCAGAGCCCTCATGAATGAGTTAATGCCACTATTAAAAGTGCAAACTTGCAGTGAGCCGAGATTGCGCCATTGCACTCCAGCCTGGGCAACAGAGTGAGACTCCGTCTCAAAAAAAAGAAAAAGAAAAAAAAAAAAGTGCTTGCTGGAGTGGGTTCCCTCTTCTCTCCTGCTCTTCTGCCATGAGAAGACAGAGCTAACTGTTCCTCCCCTCTGGAAGACATAGCATTCAAGGCGTCATCTTGGAAGCAGAGACATCACGATCCAAACTGTTGGTGCCTTAATCTCCACCTTACCTGCCTCCAGAACTGTGAGAATAAATTTCTGTTCTTTATAGATACTCCAGTCTGTGGAGTTATAGCAGCACAAAACAGACTAAGACCCCACCTCCCTTGACCACTCAAGGACACCATTCCAGCAATTTCCCAGATCTCTTCTACATCATCACTTTTTCTCTCTACCAGGCCATGGTTATTTCTCCCATCTTAATAAAAACCTTCTCTTATCCCCACTTGCCCTACCAGCTACTGCTCTAGTTCTCTGTGATCTTCTGCAGCTAAATTCCTCTAAAGAGCTACACTCATTGTCTCCAAATCATCTTTCATTCACTCTTAAAACCACTCCAGTCAGGCTTTAACCCTGTCACTCAACCAAAACTGCTCTGGCAAGATCAGTAGTAACATGTTGCAAAATCCAAGGGCAAATTCTCAGGCTCACCTTACTTGGCCTGTCTGTCGGCACCGTCTGTCAGAGGCGACCACGTCCTCCTTTGGCTGTCAAGACACCTGATTCCACTCCTTTTCATTCCCTTTTGCAGGTTCCTCTTGTTCTCCCCATCTTCTTAAGTGAGAGTGCCTCCACGCTCAATATATAGTTATCTTTCTCCCTACCCTTACTCCTTCGGTGATTTCATTTGACTTCATTTTTTAAACAAACCTACCTGTCAGCAACTTCCCAACGTATACCTCCAGCCCGGGCTTTCTCCTGAACTCCAGGCTTACATGGGCCCCTGCTACACAGCTACTCCACCAGGAGGTCTACCAGACACCAAAAACTTCACATATCCCAAACAAAACTGCTGATTGTCTCCTCAGAACCATTCCACCTGTGCTCCTCCTTCTCACCAAACCTATTCCACCTGTGTTCTCCTAGCTTAGATTACCAATCTGTGCTTCAATTGCCTGATACTTCTCACTACACCCACTGCTACCCACATGATCTTTTACTTGGTTAATTTTTAGAGACAGGGTTTTGCTCTGTTGCCCAGGCTGGCATGCCAGTGACATGGTCATAGCTCACTGTAACTTTAAACACTTGGGGGTCAAGCAATCCTTCCCACCCCAGCCTCCTGAGTAGCTGGGACTACAGGTGTGCACCACCACGCCGGGCTCGGCATGGTCTTTTTAGCTGGAATATTAATTACTACAGCCTCCTGACTGTTCTCCCTGCCTCCTTGCTTGCACCCTTGTAGTCTATTCATATCACAGCAACACAAGTCAGATCCTGTCACTCCCCAGAAGGCTAATGACTCTGTTCCACTTGGAGTAAAGCCCAGAGTCCCTACCATGACTATAAGGCTCTACACAAATGGCACCCCTCTGTATTCATCCCTACCACTCTCCCCTCACTCCTCCTGCTGCAGCCATCTGGACTGTTTGCTGGTTCTCAAAAATGCTACCATACTCCCATCTTTGGAGCAGTCTTTGCACTGGCCCTTCTGCCTGGAACATTCCCTAGGGTGCCACATAGCTATGACCCTCAACCTCTTCAAGAAATCCCATGTGAAATTCTGCCCTGCCTTCCTCTGACCCGCCCTGGCAATCCTTACTCTGCTTTTTTTCCCCCTTAGCATGTCATCTTCTATGATACCATATTATGATTTACTTATTTATAATATTTATTGTCTGTCTCTCCCCCATCCCCAATCCCAAGTGCCTAGCCACAAAATTAGCACTCAATAAATATTTCTTGAATATATGAATTTCTAGGAAGGGCCAGGGCTTTGATAAGATTATCAGAGAGTTTGCGGTCCAAAAAACATTAAAAAAAAAAAAAAAAACAAAAAACAAGATCAAAACACCAAACACTTCCAAGGAGTAAATATGTTTGGGAAAAAAAACACACTCCCACACACCAAACCCCCACTATTCTAGTCCTCAAAGAACCTTTGTGAGCAGAGACACAGCAGTAGAACCAATATATATATTGCTCTTGGTTTCTGCCGATTCCTTCCTGATAATCTGTCGTTCTGGTTTGCATGACTATGACAGTGTTGGGGGTTCCCTCCCCGCTCTCTCGGGAGACCTTGAATGCTGGCTGGGCAGCAGCTTCTAGACATCATGAGAGAGCTCACTCAGCAGCACATAGAGAGGAGAGACCATGAGATTTACCACGCAAAGCGGGCACTGTATGTGAAGTACATGCTGGTAGCAACAAGAACAGCGGTAAATACAGAACAGAAAATAACCATCTTTGAAATGACAACAAATGGGACACATTATCTAAGCACTAACACCTAAGGAGGTGGCTGCCCAAGCTCTGGTGGGCAGCTCCTCAGGAGAGAGAGGCTGACTTCTTTCCAGGTTGCCTGGTCTTCAGTCCTTGTAACTTTTCGTCTTTTAGCGCCTTCAGGAATGTATCTGCAGGAGAGCAAAACAAACTTAGCCGTAATAGAAAAGATGTAAGGGCTTTTCCTAACACTTCCAAAGCAAACTCCTGGGAAGCAACGGTGCTTCCTCGAACTTAAAACCCCATTTGTGATCCAAGATGGGAGAGAAAAAAAACAAAAAACCGAAAACTCTGACTGTAAAAACACGTAACTGCTTCTGACTGTACATGCAACACATCCAGTTACATGTGTTTTTACAGTCAGAGTTGCTAAGTCCTGGATTTCTTCTTCTTCCTCTTCTTTTGAGAGGAAGTCTTGCTCTTTCACCCAGGCTGGAGTGCAGTGGCACAATCTTGGCTCACTGCAGCCTCCGCCTCCTGGGTTCAAGCGATTCTCCTGCCTCATCCTCTCCAGTAGATGAGATTACAGGTGTGTGCCACCAAGCCCGGTTCATTTTTGTATTTTAGTAGACACAGGGTTTTACCATGTCGGTCAGGGTGGTCTCCAGCTCCTGACCTCAAATGATCTGCACGCATTGGCCCCCCAAAGTGCTGAGATTACAGGTGCCAGCCACCACACCCGGCCCCTGGATTTCTTAACTATGTAGTCGGTTACGATACTACGTATTACAAATACATAGTATTATCTATGTATTCATAGTTAAGAAATCCAGGCCTTAGCAAAGCCCAGTTTTTCTAGGGACAGTTTTCCTTCCATGGCTATGAGAAAGGGTGCATTACAGTGTGTCCGATGAACTGAACACCATTTCCATGGCCACCTGGACCTAAGCATTTAGGTTATTTCATACTTTCCTCCTCTGTGTGGCAGGGGAAGCCAACTTAAGCCGTTATATACAATAGTTGGAATGATCTTTTTAGAACTATCTGCCCTCCTACAGTGGTCAAGTACAAGCCTTAGCCAAAACAAGTGATGGGAAAGACAAAGTCTGCAGGACAACCTACCGCTACTGAAAGTTCTACTTTGCAATAGGTCCTTCTTGGAGCACAATGCATTTAACAACTTTACCCTCCAACAGGGAGGAGTCATTCAGCTCGTAGGCTAAGGGATCCTGCGCGCATCAACACACCTGGTCTCCCCTGGTCCAGAGCCCTAAGACTTCAGACCTAAGACCAGATGTCAGCCCAGGATCTGGTGAGAGAACTACTGGCGCCAAGCCCATGGAGTCCGAGGGGGCTGCCCTCCAGCATTGAGAAGTGGTGTCCCAAAGCTGTCCAGGAAATGGCCTTGGGTCTCTTGCACAACTCCCACCTCCTCCTTAAGATACTCCAACTGACTGTCACCTACTTCACCTTCCCCCCATGGAGAGCCCCGGTTTAAGACCGAATATTAAAGCTTAGGGACTGTCTGTGGTGGGTGGAGCTCCAGAGTACAGGGTAGGGGGATGACTGAGCGGGAGGATTAAAGTTCAGGACGGGGTAGTGGTGGATGGAGTTCCAGGTGTGGAGGCTCAGAGTCCAGATTACCCAAAGGGTTTAGGATGGAGGCAGGATGGAGTTTGGGACTAAGGGGCTCATGAAGTTCATATCTGTGGTTGGAGGAGTCGGTTGAAGTCCAGGATAAGGGAGTCTGGGTGCTAGGGAATAGATTTTGGATCTGCGACTACTGGGTGCTGGAGTCAAACCAGGGCTACATTTCGGGGCGGGGCACGGAGCCAAGGAGGGAGCCAGGGCAAGGCTAAGGCTGGGCTCGGTGGCCCCGGCGAGGTCACGCACAGCGCTGGGAGTCGAAGCCGTCCCCAGTGATGGTGAGCAGCTCCAGCTCCTTAATCCGGATCTCCAGCTCGCACAGTTCCTCGGGGTGGGAGGCAGAGGCGAGCCTGGGGGTCGAGGGGCGGGGGGCCAGGGGCGAGACAGCCACCTCAGGCCCCGGCGGCGGCGAGTAGAAGAAGCGCAGAGGCTCGTAGGGGATGGAGGCCAAGCCAGAGGGCCAGGGCGAGGGCCAGGGGCGCTCGCCAGGGGGACCCAGGCCGGGTGGTGGCGGGGGCGGGGGCGCCGGGGCGGGGGGCGCCTGGGGCAGGGGCCGGGGCCCCCCCGCCCCGCCCACTGTCGCCCCGCCCGCCTTCAGCGGCACGAAGAGCTTCTTCCAGATGTTGAAGTCGCTGAGCGGGGACGAGGAGATGCCGCGGTCGTACAGGGACGGGAAATAGAGGGGCGGGGCCGACCGCTGGCTCATGGTGGGGCTGTGGCTGCCGCGCCGCCCCTTTGGCATCGTTTGAATGAGGGTCTGCGTGGGAGGAACCCCGCGCCGGGAGACGCGCGCTCAGGCCCCGAGTCGCCGGGGTTTCGAGGTTCCACAAGCCCCGCCCCGACGGAGCGCGGCCCCACCCTTTCGCCTCAGCCCCGCCCCGAACAGGCGGGGTTCCAAAGCTCGGACGACCACGTCCCGGAACGTGGCCCCGCCCACCGGCGGCAGGCCAAGCCCCGCAGTGAGAAAGCCACGCCCTCGGCCTCGCCTCGCCTCGCCTAGCCTCCGTTCCCTCGACTCCACCCACCGCCTCGCTCTGGCTCTGCGACGCTCCTGGCTCCCGTTGTCACATCCCAGCATACCCTCATCCAGAGCAGGGAGCGAGCCAGAGCTGCGGGAGAAATCTTGCTTCAGGCTTCCTCTCTTTCGCCCATCAGGGAGAAAAGTATTTCCTAGAAACCTGGCCCCTGCACCAGCAGACTTACCTCATTGCCTCACTGGCCGGGCCCACAGCAAAGAAGTCTGAGAAATGAGTGTCTGATTTTTCATCCACTACTATGGGAGGCAGACAAAGGAGAATATGATTGGGAATGGCCGTTAGAGTCAACCCATGTATCTGCCAAACTTTAGCAGTGCTGAGGGAGATTCTAGAAAAGGGGATCCTCATCTCCTTCAGATGAAGGAGTGTTTTCTTTTAATTCTCTTCCAAGTTTAATTCTCTTCCAAACACAGATATCATCAGGAGCTAAAAGGCAACCAGCTAACCACCAAAAGGAAATCCTGTCCGCCCCACCTCAAATACCTCACCCATTGCTTATGAGCGATTTGGATATTTTGTCCAAAGGACATGACAGCTCATTTACGTGAGTAACCTGTATTAGCCATAGACTGAGGGGAAATAACTAATACATTTTCTTGAGAGCCTCTGCCTAATGATCACTGGTATGAATAGTGATGGGTGGAGGCCAGTTAAAGAGTCAGTATCAGCTTCACAAGTTAAATACATATATGCATATGTATCTGCACACACAGTGCAAATTGCGTGTGTGTGTGTGTAGCAGCAAAGTGGAGAGAGTCAGATATTCAAGCTGGGTAGCCTTGGACAAGTTGCTTGACTTCTAAGTAAGTTTTCTATAAAATAAAAATAAGAAAACCAGGCTGCCTCATAGGGTTGTGATCAGACAGAACAGTGCGTGTGGAACACTTGGACACTTTGTCCAAACACAGTAGGCAGCGATCCCTACTAAGGGGCATGTCTGAAACTGGGAAGCTTTTGCTTCCCACACTTAGCTTCCCACACTTAGTTGTCACACAGAGTATTTGCACTCTGACTTTGGCAGCCACCCATCATTGTTTATTCATACCAGTGATCACTAGGCAGAGGCGCTCAAGATAATGTATTTCCCCTCAGTCTATGGCTAAACCAGGCCATGTGCGATAGCTCAGCACCCAGCCTGTAATCCCAGCACTTTGGGAGCCTGAGGTAGGGGGATCTCTTGAGGCCAGGAGTTTGAGACCAGCCAGGGGCAACAGAGTGAGATTCTGTCTCTACAAAATAATTTTAAAAATTAACCAGGTGTGGTGGCATTTGCCTGGAGCCACTCAGGAGCTGAAGTGGAGGATTTCTTGAACCAAGGAGGTTGAGATTGAGGCTGCAATGAGCCACAATTATAGCACTGCACTCCAGCCTGGGTGACAAGGCAGGGCCCTGTCTCAAATAAATAAATAAAATAAAAATACCCTATCTTCCATTAGTTTCCCCCATATATTTAACTTCCCATAATTTACTGCCCCAGAAGCTCAAACCTCTCTTCCTTTGTCTTGTCACTTTTCTACAATCGCCCATTGTTAAAATTGTATATAAGCTCTCAAGTCACTTCTTTGGGTTTTCACTTTGTTTCTGTAAGAACCCCACGTACCTGCGTAATAAACTTTGTCTTCCATTAGTCTGTCTTTGTCAGTTTAATTCTCAGGTCCCAGGCCCTGAACCTAAGAGATTAGAAGAAAAAATTTTTCACCCCTACAGAACCACAGTAATGGTAAGAACCAGGGTTTTGGACTCAGACTTGGGACCAAACCCTGGATCCACTATGTATTTGGTTGTGTGGCTGAACCTTTCTCAACCTCACTTTTTCATCAATATAATGGGAATAGTAATGGCATCTACTTGCTTAGGTTGGCAAGACTAAGTGAGACAGTTTTCTACTTGCTTAGGTTGGCAAGACTAAGTGAGACAGTTTAAGTACCTGGCAATGGCTTGTGTTCAACATTAGCTCTTGTTATTACATACTGAAGGCCCTTAGAAGCGAAAGAGATTTTGCGTTATATTTTTTAAATGAAGCAAAAAAATCATTTTTTATTTATATACCTAGTTGAGGAGAAAAAATTACAGATTCTTCCCCCTTACTCCAAGATAATCTAAACAGATTTTACTCCGGATGGCTTACTTATAATCAATGAAGTTGTAGCCAGTGGGTTAAATAAGAAGTTGATGACAAACTTGGTTTCTCTAACAACTATGCAAAAAACTCAAGTGCCACAGTGAGCACTAAGATAAACTGCCATCAGGAGACAAAGTCCCTATGAGGTAATAATAAACCCACAAGGTTAAGGCAAAACCCTACGGTTGTTTCTGCAAACAAATGTCCAGGAAACTCAAGTTGGTGATGAAAGACAAAACAGCCTTGAATTCAACTTCAACAGAACCTTTCCCTCCCTGGGCTCCAAAGCACTATGTCACCTACCTCTCCACTCAAATTCCCCATTAAGTACCATCCTGTTGGAGCTTGAGGGTTTCGATTCCTAATGCCCCACTCCCTGGCTTCATTTGGAACCAACTGACACAGACACGAGTCCCTCTTCATTCATCAGGGTCAGTTGGAGCATGTAGCTGTTGGCCTGGTAGCCAGGTGGGCTTGCTAATCCTGCACCTCTACCTTTAAGCTTACCCAGCGTGAGGCCAGGTTAGAAAGTCACAGGCCTTGGGAGCAGGGAGAGGGCCTTTACTATAATAGTGAAGAGCTTGCCAAGGACAGGACTGATTCTTCCTCCAGCCTCACCGATCAGGGCAGTCATCATTCTGCTATCAGGAGGAGAGGGGCCAGAAGGTCACACTGAAGAAATGTGTCATGGGGGTAAAGGTTCCTGTCCAGCACTCTTACATAGATTACTCTATTTAACCTAGGCTGACTCACTGCAGTTGGCACTGATTTTCCATTGCCACAGCCCTCTCCAGCCAGGAGGGCCTGGTTCCCTGGGTCCTCGGACTGCTCCCTTCAGAGAGAGCACAGAAAGCCTTCTCTGTCCCAAGGAGCCTCCCTTCCCCTCCCTCACTCCAGTTCTGCATCTGGACACACTGTTGGCGACCAGACCCTGACCAGGTGCTCAGCCTCTATAGGGATATGTCACAATTTGCTGGTGGCTCTGGGCAGTCTTTGGACATGTAGTGCTTGTGTCTTGGAATACAAGAGTTGTGCCTGAATCTGGGACTCTCTGTGACCCTGGGAAAAATCACATCAGCTCTCTGAACCCCAATTTTCTCTGATCTATAAAATGAAGACAATATCTACCTCATTGATGTATTTGATAGACATATGTATAAGCAGTGCCAGGGCCAACTAATAGGTGCTCACTGAAGTGTAGCTACAGTTATTATCAGTTACACATGGATTCCTTAATTCCCCATTAAGCCCTGGTGGATGAATGAGGAAAATGCAGCAGGGGGTCGATCCTAGAAAACCCAACCCACTCCAGATAATTGCGCCAGCCTCACACCTGAGAAGCTGTTTATTCGACCTGCTGAGGACACAATGATAAACACACGAGAGGCTACTGTGTCCCAGGCACTTGTCTTAACTCATTTAACTTTTCTAACAACCCTGAGCCTAGGGTTCTCATTTTCCAGATGAGAAAACTGAGGCATGTAAGGTTAAGTAACTTGCCTGAGGGTGGCTGATTAGCATCAGAGCTGGGGTTTCAAATGGACAGGCCAGCTCTAGAAGCCAGGGTGTTTGGACAGCCTCCAAATTGCCACCCCAGCCTTCAGGGCAAGGCCGCAGCATGTGTGGCCTCTAGTCTCCTACCCCTCTTCCTGGCAGGAGGCTGGCTCTGACTGGAAGTTGTTTGTGCCACAATTTAAGGACCAAGCTATTCTGGGAAGCCCAGAACAGTCTTTCCTTTATTATTCATCTCAATTAACCATTGTGTTGGTCTGGACTTGGGGGTGCAGGCATTCCCATCTCCCTTTCAAGAACGTTTCTAAAAAATGCAGACCAGCCTTTATTCTTGTTTTCCCAGGTAAACGTGGTCCTATGTACTTGCAGAGTAAGAATTAAAAATAAACTGAAACCTGAGAGGTAGTTTAGTGGAATAGGGAGTACAGAGGCCTGGAAGATGAGGGAGCTGGGTTTAAGCCCCATCAACCAGCATCAACTAGCCATGCTACCTTGGGCAAAATAACCGTAGCTAACACTTAGTGATTGTGTGTTCTCATGTTATCCCGACAGTAACACTTACAGGGTAGGTGTGTCAGAATTTTCTGTCCACAAGCAACAGAAGCTGACACGGAGAATTTATTGGAGGGCTATGAGACAGCTCATGGAATTGAAAGCTCTTAAGAACTAGACTCAGAAGGTGCAGAGACCAGGGCAACTTCAGGGATCCAGGTAGCAGGAAGGAATCGGTGGCCTCTTTGCTATGGCCACTGTGGTGGTAGACACTGTCTACCTTGTTTGCTGAGTCTTCTGGCTTTCTTCCACTCTTCCTGCTCTTGGACATCAGACTCCAGGTTCTTCAGTCTTTGGACTCTGGGACGTGCACCAGTAGCTTACCAGGGGCTCTCAGGCCTTTGGCCACAGACTGAAGGCTGCACTGTCAGCTTCCCCAGTTTTGAGGTTTTTGAACTCGGGTTGAGCCACTACTGGCTTCTCTCTATCCCAGCTTGCAGACGGCCTATTGTGCGACTTCACCTTATAATTGTGGGATCCAATTCTCCCTAATAACCTCCCTTTCATATATACATATATCCTACTAGTTCTGTCCCTCTGGAGAACCCTAATACCGGAATTATAACTCTAAGTTTCAGTTCTGGCCATAGCATTATGTCACACCAACATCAGCATCAATGTTTTAGGTTGCCTAATTAATGTATCTGTAAACCTATAGGCAGGTTGGGTGGGGCTAGTGAGAGTCAGCGCCAGCATTGATCATATATAGGATCAACCTACTGGGGTTGGCCACGTTGTATATAGCCATGAATAGCAAGGAGGGGAACAGCAACATCCCAAGGGAAACTTATCACAGAAAGGCAGCTCCCTACCCCACAGTAAAAAGAACCTTGAGTTTCCCAGTTCAGTCCCTTGCTGGGCGCATGCTGCCCCTCCCCTCTCCCAGAGGCTCTGGACCTACACAGCTGCTGAAAAAGAGAAAACGTCCTTACCTACAATGAACCATCACAGGCACCCTCCTAGAAATTAAGGTACTGTGGTCATTTACCTTACCCCAGAATAATAGGAGTGTGTATAAACAGGAAGCTTTAGTTTAGATAAATAAGATATCCATTATAAAAATTTTATATTGAATAACCTATAAGCAATTTGAAAAAGAGACTTCTGGCTAGTTTTCACTTATTTCAAAGTCAGTGGGGGTAAATGCATTCTGATTCACTGTAGGTTTTAGACTTTTACAGCCTTAACAACCCTGTAAATCCATAACTAGCATCTTCCTATCTGGCAGACCCTTTACCTCAAGCCTCACAACAATTCTTTGAGGTAGGTGTAGAAAGTGAAAGTTCAAAAAGGTTGGGGGGGAAAAAAAAAAAAAGAAAACTTGTCCAGAGACACAGCCAATTAGTGGAAGAGAGTTTGAACTCAGGTTCCTAACTACAAAATCCACGGATTTAACTGCTGCTATCCTGAAATGAAATATCTACAAGTAGCAGACACTGAGAAACAGACTGGCAGATAGTGTTTTGAAATGATCTTCTGTTTCCAGGAAGGACTAACTAGGTCCTCTTCAACTCATGCTATTGGGTAACTTTCCAGTAAAAAATAAATAAATAAAAAAAAAAAATTAAAAAAATTGCACTTTATGTTTTCTTTTCCAAAAAGAGGCAGAAACTGATTTCTTCAAAGTAAAAAAGCACCAGGAACCCATTCTAGGCTTTCCAAAGTTAGGCACATATTAAAAAGAGTATGCAAAACAGGCAGAGAAGTAGATCTGCTGACCTGAGGAGCTGAGTGGGAAGCATGGACTTGCCAACTTACCTAAGTGACCTTGAGCAATCCAGCTAACTTTGCACAGTTTCCCCTTGAGTAAAGTGATGTGCAAGTACAGATGAAAATGTATATAAAACATAGTGCTTAGAACCCTGTACCAGAAAGTTGCCCTCATCACAATGAATGTCAGTACTAGCTCCAGCCAGCCCATCAAGAAGCCCTCAGGGGGATCTGTCAGCATTCGTTCAGATCTGTTGGCAGCAACTGAAACTAATGTGAGCTAGTAGACTTTGAACACTGCTAAAGGACTTACCAAGAGGACTCAGATGTATAAAGTTGGTTCATTCTGTCAAGAGGCCCAAAGTCTTGGGCAGGCTCTTATTTTTTCAGGACATACGTGACATGAGAAGTCATGGGGGTTGACTGCAAGGACACAAGAAAAACATACCCATACCTTGAAGCCCCCAGTACATTCAAGACTCAGTTCGGCAAATGGATTAGCATCTTCAGGAAATACCATGAGCTCAATTGACCTACTCATCAGGTGTACCTTGCACCCCTAACTCATCCCCTCAAGGGGACAATCCAATGGGGTTACCACCCAATACTGAACACTATGACAGTTCCTGTAAATCCAGATGAGTGGAGGGCATGGGGTAGTGGCTCTCGAGCAAAGAGCCAGTAGGCAAGACTGGACCCAAAGGCAATACTGTAAATATCTTTACATTACAGGATTGCCTTCATGTCCAGGTACTCAACCTTGTCTATAGCATGAGTCACAGCAACTTTATGCAGAAAGCAACCCCAAGGTTTAAGGCCATTTATATGACCGTTGTTGATTTGGACAGCTTAACAACCCTCTTCCCATCTCCCCATTTAGCAGCACCCAGATTCTGCTTTAGAGGACTGCCTTCTTCCCAATGTAGTCTGGCCAAAAAGTGGGTACATGACACAAGATAGCAGTAAGCCAATTTCATCCTCGAATCTTGAATCCTGAGAGAGGCTTCCGAAACTGTCGACTCCTGGCTTTCTGGAGTGTGGCTGAATTCCCCACCCCTTCGCCCCCAAAAAAGTTCCCAGAAATTCATTTTCTGCTCAAATTCATCAAAATTCGTTCTCATTCCTTAGAACTCACATGAAATGTGCTTCTTTGCTCAGCCAGTGGCTGTGGGCATGGTCAGTACTTCCTTCGGCCAAAAAAAAAAAAAAAAAAAAAAAATTCCTATTGAGGAAAGAGTCACACCTAGTATTTTGTCTTGAACCTGAGGATTAAAGATGATGTAAGGAAAGACACTGAGCTAACAGAGAACACAGAACACCAAGGTAATGCTAAGTTTTGATAAGCAAGTCTCTATTTTTCTATGTTCAGGGAATGGCATCAACAGAAGAAAACTGGCACTGCTCAGGATGTCTTCTTTCAGTTACTGCCATTAAGCATACTGCATATGCTTTTATCCTTTTGGGCCATAACCACATTCATCCACTTGTTATATTTCATTTTCAGAAAGGCATCATTCACTGCACTCAATTTGTCTAACAGAGTATAATCAAGGGTTTTTTTTTTTCAACATTAATCAAGAAATTCCTCCATCTGCAAAAGTCAGGCGATGCCATTAAATACAGCCAAGATCATAACATACAAATGTTATTAAGGTCTACTGAATCTTGAGCTTTATTCACTAGAATACACAGGGAAAAGGAAAAAGTTTTTAGAAAGAGCTTCTGAAAGCCTCAAACATGTGTGACTGTGCTAATAGCCCTTACAAAGGTATTTTATACAATCTATGCTGAGTCAGCTAGGAGTTAACAGAAGGCTGGATGCAGACGGTAAAACAACCCTGCACATCTGTTGTTATTAAGGATGACCTCTGGAAGTCTCAAACTGTAACCACAAAGGTTGTTCCCATTGCATTCATACTGTATACACACATACCTGAACAGCCTTCCTACCAGTAACATTTAAAATAAGCACACTTAATACTGCTAGTCACATGTACGGAGTGTTCATTCTGTAACTGTGTGTGGCAAATCCAAGATCTCCCACCATTCCAATTAAAAAAATAAAGGAGAGGAAATAGCTTTAACACACCATTAATGTATGCTATTACACTTTTCCAGTGAAAGATAACAAAGCCCATATAAAATTTAAAGATAGAGGAAAAACTCGACTTTCAGCCACTTGTATCTCCCTTAAGCTTTCATGCCCTGCCATCTGGAACACTTACCCACTTCCCTTCCAGAAGTCCTCTAGCTCTGCATTAGGGATCTTGTTGCCCCTGACTGACACCCACATATGGAACATTTGGCATGCCTCCATGGCAACACGGGAGCCCTGAAGTTTACGAAAGCGTTCATGTGAGAGAGGATGCTCACACACTCCTGCCCAATCCTCCAAAGATGTACTAATGATGCTAACTGACTACATCCAAGGAGCCAGAGGCAAAATAATCTGAGGGTTGCGAAGAATCCACTCAAGCTGTCACTGCAAAGCTGGTCCTCCCAAGAGCAAAGGAAGAAGCATGCAATCTAGCTCAAGTCACACCTACTTCACTCTTAAACTTCTTCCTTCAAGTGGGGCTTCCCTGCAAACAGGACTGGTCTTCGAAGTCTCCCAGAGCCCCTCTATCTTAGCCAGGTTGCTCAAGTCAATTTTATTCTTTCCCAACAGGATCTGGTTGGAAAATATCAAGCCTTTAGAATGCGGCAGCAAGGGAAAGGGGACCACGCAGGAACGGGGAGTATGGGAGAAGCTCTCCTGGTGTTGACTTAGGGATGAAGGCACCAGGCTGCTGCCAGAAGTGCGGTCACCAGCAGAACAACTGTTTTCTCTGATAAGGATGTCCCACCATTTTCAAGCTGTTCGTTAAAGTTACACAGGTCCTTCTTGCAGCAGAAGTACTGTAGCTTGCTTTCCTTCAAGAGGGTTGAAACGTCATTGAAATTGCAATTCGCAGACTTCCAACACTGGTTATATACTTGTAACCCTGTGGGGAGACACACACACAAGGGTAAGAAAGTAAGTGGGAAGAGTTCTGTATCTGCCTTTGAACCCTCAATTGTATTTCATATGTATCCTGTGCAAGTAGAGACATCTAGACAAGATGCTCATCCCAGGTGGGTTATAAAGGAGAACAAACAAGTAAATAATGATACACCTCTAAATAGAGCTTTTCCAGAAAACCAAGGTCTCATCATAGCCAGTATAGTTGTGGGTGTGGGATGGGAGAGGAACAGGCATTTATACTGTTAAGAGGGAAATTTGGTAATACCTGCCAAGATTTTAAACACATGTCCCCTTTGATCCAGCAATTCCACTTTCAGAGTTTACACTATGAAGTTACTTGGGGTTTTTTTCCTCTTCCTTTTCTTTTTTTATTTTTATTTTTATTTTTTGGAGATAAGGTCTCACTTTCTTGCCCAGTCATCTGGTCTTGAACTCCTGGGTTCAAGTGATCCTCCTGCTTCAGTCTCCCAAAGTGACAGGATTATGGGGGTAAGCCACCATGCCCAGCCAAAGCTATGTATAAAAGAGGTTAAGATATATGCTCAAGAATGGCCACTGTAGTACTGGACAGTATCTGTACAGAAAAAAGCCTGAAAACAACCCAGTCCATTAATTTTTAAAAAGTGTTTAAAGAAATTACAATAGAATTTCTTACAATGCAAGTCCACGTAGATAAGAAATGACATGGGCCTATGAGTGCTAACATGGAAGGAGCTTGATTTAAAAAAAAGGGAGGCTGAGGCAGGAGAAGGGCGTAAACCCGGGAGGCAGAGCTTGTAGTGAGCCAAGATCTGGCCACTGCACTCCAGCCTGGGCGACAGAGCGAGACTCCGTCTCAAAAAAAAAAAAAAAAAAGGTGGGGTGTGGGCAGAAAAATAGGTAAATTGGATAGACTCCATCAAAATTTAAAACTTCTGTGCTTCAAAAGGCATTATCAAAAAATAAAAAGATAACTCACAGAAAGGGAGAAAATGTTTGCAAATCACATGGAAAACACTAGGCGCGGTGGCTCACACCTGTAATCCCAACACTTTGGGAGGCCGAGACGGGATAATTGTTTGAGGCCGGAAGTTTGAGACCAGCCTGGTCAACATGGCAAGACCACCTCTCTATTTTTGTTTTTTAAAGTCATATGGAAGAGCACAGTATCCAGGATATAGAAAACATTCTTAAACTCTACAATAAAAAGACTAACCCAATTAAAATATTGGCAATGAGGCCAGTGTGGTGGCTCACACTTGTAATCCGAGCACTTTAGGAGGCTGAAGTGAGAGGATTGCTTGAGGCCAGCCTGGGCAACATAGTGATATCCCAACTCTACACACACAAAAAAATTTAAAAATTAGCCAGGCAGGTGTTGCAGCTTTAGTCTTAGCTACTTGGGAGGCTGAGGCAGGAGGATCACTTGGACTCAGAACTTTAAGGCTGCAGTGAGCTATAATTCTACCACTGCATTCCAGCCTGGGCAACAAAGCAAGACCCTGGCTCTTTAAAAAACAAAACAAAACAAAACGGGCAAAGGATTTGAATAAACATTTCTCCAAAGAAGATTCTCAAATGGCCAATAAGTACATGAAAAGATGCTTGATATCATTAGTCATTAGGAAGATGCAAATCAAAATCACAGTGAGATACCACTTTATACCCACTAGGATGGCTAAGATGAAGAAAATGGCAAATAGTAAATGTTGCAAGGAAGTGGAAAAAACTGGAACCCTCAAACATTGCTGATGGGAATGTAAAATAGTACAGATACTCTGGACAAATGTGGCATTTCCGCAAAGAGTTAAAGATAGAGTTATCCATTTGACTGAGCAATTCCACTCCCAAGTATATATACTTCTGCCATTCTCTAGAAGGATTCCCACGTAATTTAATGGTGTTATCATCATGGAAGAATACACTTTGTTTATCTTTCTATTGAGTTTTTAAAATTTGCCACATGGATGATTTATTTTTAAAATATTTAAAACTTCATTTTAAAAATCATTAGATTATTCAGTAATACAGGAAAAGTTTCTACAAAAACATGCCATCATGGTCCCATTTTTGGAAAAATAGCCTTGGGCACACAGGAAAATAAAGGCCGGAAGTATATGCTCCAAGTATCTTATCGTAGTTTTTTAATATTCAGAAAAAGCATGTTAGGCGAAAAATGCATTAGTTGAGAGAGTGGTGTTATGGTAGATTTTCTTCTCCAAAAATAACTGAGTGCCTATGTGCTAGATACTGGGTCATAAGAAGGTATTTGTCCTTGCCCTGAAACTGTTTTCTTATCGTCTGTGCTGGAAAGAAAAAAATGCAGATGCATACTTCCTTATTTCAGGTTTGTAGCTAATTTACCCAATTCCATGAAAAGCCTGGAACACAACACTTCTCAGTTTATAACTGCAGGTGTAACTGTCCTTTCCTTCTCCTCTGAGGGGATGGGTATTTGGACTGGAATTTAATGAAGTTTGGTCAAGTGGCAGAGTCCAGATAGAGTATTCTAGAAATGCCTCTACTTGCTGGAGTCTTAACTAAATAACTGGAAGCTTCTAATATTGTACTACTACAGGCTGCTGGTGATTCAGACAAGTTACTGTTTTATGTAATAGTAAGTAAGCACTGGAACTTGAAAAGCTTTAAAGCTGTCAGAATTTTAATTAGGGAAGCCTAGCAGCTTGGGGAGAACAGACAGTAATTTATTAATCATTGCTACCAATTAATCATTTACTATGTGTCCTGCAGCATACCAAAGTGCTTTACTTGAATTATCACATTCAAACAACAGCCTTATGATGGTAATCTTCTCACCAAAGCCAGCCTCGGAATTATCCACATAAAAGTGGATTATATCAGAGTCCCTGGAGTGTTAAAGGTTTTCTCCTCCCCACTCTTTTTGAATACTTTGGCTCAAGTCTATCTAAAGCCAACAGTCTTCAGTTGTCCTGGGCACCCTTAAATGTAGTCCTTGTTCAGAACGTCATTATAGCAATGACCACTTGGCACTGTCATCAGAGGCCCCTTCAAGACTAATTTAACCTGGCTTATACTTCCATGGTTTATACTGCTAGGATGCCAATAAATATTGGTTGAATTAGCAGCCAACCTGTCTCTCTTCTAGACTTACTTTGCATAGCACCATCATATCCGTCGCTGTGCGAACGTCATAGAGTACAGTTACACAAACTTACATGGACTAGCCTAGTACACACTCAGGCTATGTGGTATGTCCTGTTGCTCCTGG